CTCCTTGTTCGCTTTCGCACCTTTCTGTTTCTCTGATCTTCTTCTACCCACTTCTCTGCTTGATAAGGCGCTGTATCAAATGTGAGTATTATTATTATGAGTCAAAATATTTCTCCCAACCTCTCGAATTGCTTGTTTGCCACCTATCTTGTTTGTTTCGCCCACAAATATACAGTCAATTCACTTTACAGTCCATTCTGTTAAGTGCTTTGAGATGTCTAGAAGACGTGAAAAGCACTATGTCAAATGCAAGGATTATTATATTAATTTAAATTGATGCCCTCCAGTCACTGACTCACCAATGCTAACTAATGAATAAATTGCTTCGATAAATCTATTTGCATTTGCCCCTCGAAAGGGAATGTTGACTGGTGTTTACAGAACATTGTTGAAGAATGTGTTTAGCTAACATACAGACAGAGGGAATGTTTTATAAAATGGAGTATTCCGGTATTATTCTCAGAAAGAACATTTTCTGCAATATTTGATACTCTAATGTCTCTTCACCCAGAACTTCAAAAGAACAAAGCAATTTTCCAAATCTAAACCTGTCTTTAAATGGAGTTCTGAGGTTCTGAATTTTACTTCATTTTTCTCCTCCAACAATAAATAATCATAATCCTAGAAGTTGATGAGGTTCCTAAGAAGGACTCAAGGGGCTTCACAAGGCTTTTCTAAAGTGTAGCGACTGTGTATTTTGTAGGCAAATGCAGCAGCCAATTTACACACAGCAATGTCTTACAAACAGACAATTTATCTGCAGGATTGTTGGCCCGGACACCGGAAGCAATCCCATGGCACCCAAAGCAACTTTCATGAGAATGCTTTGAGGACAATATCAAATGAACTTTGCAATTAATTAGTTTTGGAAACGAGAAATGTTGCTTGAGCACTTTGAGATACTTCAATAACATGATAAGGTGCTAAATCAAATGCAAGCATGTTGATTAATAAAGCTGAAATAGGGACAAATTGAAAGGTTCTCTGATTTAAACAGATCTGACACGAAAACAATCTTGCCCTTTACAACCTAAAACCCCTGAGTTATATTCTTCTCTCTCGAATATCAAATTCCAGTTGAGTCAAATTTGTAATCCCATGTTAGCTTCCGATTAAATTCTCACAGAGAGCAGATTCTTACATTCTTAATTCTCTGTTTGTTAATAGAATCAATTTGTTGACATTCTCTTTGCGTTTGCAGTCTTTTTGTTGGAAAAAAAAAGGAAAGGGTTGAAGACGATCCTACCACTGCTAATAATCCTTGCATTTGATATAGCGCCTCATCACGTGGTTGATACGTAGAACATGGAGACATAGAAACCGGAGTAGATAATTCAGCCACTCAAGCCTGTTCCGCTATTTTATAAGATCAAGTCCAGTTACCTGCCCCGTGCCCTTCGAGACGTCTCAAAGTGCTTCCCAGAATATACTGTAAAGTGAATTGACTGTATATTGTGTGGGCGCAATATTTATTAATAATAGCCATTCAGTACTCACAACATGTTGGATGTTCGATGACTTTAAAGATGTTAATGTTTCTTTCCTGATTGAAACTTCGAAGAAATTTTGGTGAAAGAAGAATTCAAAATAGACTAGACGCAGGATTACATTCCACCAGTGTCAATCCGTACCTCCAGGCAATAATATGTGCGCTTGTCTGAATCTAATATAATGCCTTACAGTGCAAAACCTTTGAATCGCTGCATATATATCATTGCAAGTCACCCATGTGTACACAGACTTTCCCTTAGTGGATGGAATGGATATCAGTTTAATAATAATAATCCTTGCATTTGATATAGCGCCTTATCTCGTCTTCTAAATGTCTCAAAGAATATACTGAAAGTAAATTGACTGTATATTTGTGGGCGAAACGCAGCAGCCAATTGCACACAGCAGCGTCCCACAAACAGTCGTGGAGTGAAGTGATCAATTTTTTTCTTGAGGGATGTGTGGAGTAAGAAAACTTGCACAAGGTTTCGCCCTGCTGAGAATTGAACTAGATCTCTCGCCTATGAAGCGAGTGCTCTAACCACTGAGCAACAGGACACTTGTATCTCATTTAAAGTGAGAAAAGAACTTCAGAGATGTTAGTCTTAATAAAACAAGTTAGGATGACGGGATGTCTAATTACATTACATTTTTTTCAAGCTCCTCATCACGTCGTAGAGATATCTCGTTTATGAACATATCCAATGCATGGGCATCGACAGCTACACAGCACTTGCGCTGAAGCATCAGCTTGGACTACATCTCAGTTGTTCAGTGGTATTAAGTCACGATCTGCAACACTGAACAGGTAGCAGAAGTGATACCAACTGAGCTAAATGGTAATCGACTTGGTGGTGGTCAGGGGTGGTGGAGGGGTGGGGAGAAAAAAGGAAAAACTGTAAAACAATCGCAAAATACTTGTAAACGATGCTTGTCACTGAGACTGAAGAAGCTTTGAGGTGTGACTGAACACTGCTGATGGACTTGAGTGTACACTCTCCTGTCAAAATGAGTTCGAGTTCACTGAATAACTAATCATCTCAGCTTTTAGAGCCCCAGCCTGCCAGACACACACACATCATTACTCTTTAATTCAGATATTCCAGCCCAGGCCCGATAAAGTGCAGCAATTTTCTGTGGAGGTTGTCAGTGCTTGATGAAAATTGAAAAGCAGGGACAGTCTCGATAATGTAATGGACAGAGCTGCCACCTGTGCAACAGCCTACGCTCTCTGGTTCAAAGCCCAATCCGTGCTGAGTTTACTACTGGAAGCTGTGGTTGAAGCAGAGAGCATCGCAATATTTAAGAAGATACTTAATGAATAAGTGAGGGAGAAGGAGATAGAGGGGTGTCGGAGAGGGACATAGGAGGGGTTGAGGCTTGTGTAAAGTATAAACAGACGAGTTGGACTGAATAGCCTATTTCGATGCCATAACTTTCTATCTAACAGATATCAATACGATTGTTGTCGAGATTGTAATTCTATGTAATGTTTTTCTGCTAAGCGAGTGCTGTACTGTTTAACATAACAGTCTTTGACTTCTCTCACACACACGGAGCCCAGTAGCCTCTGAGTTACCACAACAACAACTTGCATTTATACAGCGCCCTTTACGAGGGATAGGTTCCCGGAGGGCTTCACAGTGGCGGAGCCTGACAACGAGCCAAAGGGGAGAGGGAGTGGTGGAATTGACCGTAAGCACGATCAAAAAGGAAGGTCTTTAGGTAGGACTTGAAGGTGGGGAAGGAGCTGGGGAGAGGACAAGGGAGCTGGGAGAGGGGGAGAGATTGAGTTACACTTTGAGAAAGCACAAAGTTCCCTCGACAAATTTTTATTCAATACATTTTATACAAACTTTGTTGGATGTTAAGAATCAGAGACCCACGGCGACAACTCAGGATACAACAATGTACATCGGAAAGAGTGGATCAGAGCAAAAAAAAAGACACGTCTGATTTTTATTGCAGTGAAACTAAACCTACCTGATAAAAATCTGGCTTTAACAGGGTTGACTCAAAGTTCCACCCTCTTCGTCTCACAATGGTGAAAATCTCGTCAGCTTCTCAGTGAGATTTAACTTAAAGAGATTCACAGCATAAGAGGAGACCATTCAGCTATTGTTCCTGTACCAGTTCTCCGAAAGAGCTCTCCCTTTAGTCCCAATCTTCTGCCTCCCCACTCTCCCCCCCCCCCCCCCACCTCCGCCCCACCACACATACACACGCAACACACTTTTATAGTTCTCCTAAACATATTTATCTATTTCCCTCTTAAAAAGCTATGATGGATTTTGCCTCAAGCGCAGTTCCACGGTAGGGGTTCCGCACCTCAGCAACCTACCGGGCGGAAATATTTTCTCACTCATTGTGTAGAAATATTTTCTCGCTCATTGCCTCACACATTGTGTCAGCTCAACGTAGGAGCCCTTACAACCACTGGGGAGGTTGGGGGGGGGGCGGGTGGTGGGTGTTACAAGACAGGAACTTGAAAAATAACTTGTCGGTAACTGGGTGAGAAAATGAGACAAGCTAACCATCAATCAGAGTAACATAAGAGCTGCAGAAAAAAATAATCTCAACTGAATAAAGCCAGGAAAACAATTAAAACCTCAAATTGAAAAGCATCAACACACACTCCACAGTCTACTTCTAGTTAGCAGATAGTTCTTTGGTAATCTTTACTCAATTAAAATGTTGTTCACGTGGGCAAAATCCCTTCGAAACCACCGTTTGATTTAAAGGACGAGCATTCGTTGATCCTGTTTGTTAATCGAGCACAAATTAAACAATTAGATTAAAAAAAGTGGAGACAAATTATGAAAACACTACGTTTTTTTTTCTGGATTATATAATCTGTTCGTCTTTCGAGTCCTTCCCGCTGTCTTTAATTTAATTTGAAATGATTCTTTTTTCTGACGTTCTCCGGAGGCAATGTCGCTCCCAGCTCTCGGTCGCTTCCTCTCCTTTCATCTCGAACCCCGCAGAAGCCCAGCACTGAGGTAAAAGAAAAGGTAACGGAGAGTAATGGCTGCCAGTATGTGACAGCGATGTCCATGCCGTGAATTAAGACGTCCTTCTCTCTCTTCACTCTTTACACAAACCGTGCTGTGTGGCAGCAGTGTCATAGATGCTTCCTATGTCCTAGACTGTCTACCAGCACCAACAGAATGGATGCTGCTATTGCTTTGTTTGGAGATTTCCTTCCGGGGCGTGATTGCATCCTGGCTTCCTTCCCGCGCTCGCTGTGTTGACCTGCCTTTGGTGCCCACTTGCCTGCTTCCATCTCTGTCCACGTGTCCGCACTGAAATCCCCACCGGTCCAACGCTTTTGCACCCGGACGCCAAACCCTTCCAGCTGGTCCAGGTTTTAGAAACACAACCTGCAGCCAAACTGCTCTCCCTTCTCCATCCCATGTGATTGCCCATCAGGTCCTAGGCGCTCTGCGGTTCTTAACGTTCCCGCGCCCGCAGCAGGCCCTGTCTCTGAAACAAAGCTCCAGCCTCCTCCCTCGTTCTGTCCAGTGCTAGTGCGCGCCCATTCTGCTCCCAGCGCAGGTCGTGGGTCTCCTAGGGGAACACCGGGGTCAGCCCAGTGTTGCAGCTCATGCTGTCTTTGCCCGGAAGCCGTCGGTCGTTGAATGTGTGCATGTTGATCACGGCTTCAGTCTTGACCATAACAGGGGCCTGAGGCTTGTGCTTAACCCGTCGCTGGCACGTGAGGGACAACCGCAGCTCCTCAGCCATGGTGCTACACAGGGATCTCTGAGGAAAATATCAGGTACACATTGGGTAATGTTAGTACGTCACAGCCTGGTCTTATATTGGATCTTATGAGTGGAACCGAGTGGGACCAAATCACAGCAAACCACTGGCTATGCTCCTTCTAAACAGTGGAAGTGTTAAAATAATAATAATAATCCTTGCATTTGATATAGCTGTCTTATCACGTCGGTGAGACGTCTCAAAGCGCTTCACAGGATATACTGTAAAGTGAATTGATTGTGTAGTTTGTGGGCGAAACGCAGCAGCCAATTGCGCACAGCGGCATCCACACAAACACTCGCGGACTGAGTGACCAAATTGTTTTTTTGAAGGGATTATTACCCTTAAAAATGGTCAACCAGTGAATCTATTTGTTTTATTTACCCACCGCAGGTCAAGTATAATGTCTGGGAGATGCACATCCATTTGGTTGATGTTGCTGCACACACGAATGTCGCTTTGTTTCCATCTCTGTGTTTGTTCTCAAAAGCCCCCCACCCCCACCCCCCGCCCCCGTCTCTGCCGCCACACACAAAGCAGTCTCATGGCTCAGGCCCCCGAATTCCACCCGGTCTTAACCTGTGCGAAATTTCCCCTTTAGCGAGTTAAAGGTGCCACAGAATTGCTGGAAAAGAACCTTGAATTAAGTGGCGGAGTTGGGAAGCTTAAATTAATCGCTGATTTTAATATCTGGCTTTTCAGATGGGAATTTCCGGGCGTTTTACCTGCTCCTGTTCCGCGGTTTTCCGGAGCTTGTAAACAAATTCTCCTATGGCCACAAAGACCGAGAGTACCAGGCCAGCTGCCAGCACAATGAAGATGCCCCCGATGTTCTGGATGCTCAAGGCACTGGCCTCCTTACTGTCCTCCTCTGGGCACCCACTCCCACGCCACCATTTCTCCTTTATCATGTGCAACTTGCCATCTTCCTGAAGCTCCAGTAAGGCAATGGTTATCTTTTCTTTGTACGGAGAGCCTGACGGAATTGGGAAAAGGCAGAGAAGTTAAACACATATTATTAATTACCGTAACAATCCTAGCCTTATCCTGGCCATGGGGGGGGGGGGGGGGAGATGCCTTTTCAGGAATTACTCTAAAGTGAGTGCATTTCGTGAGCGAGCTCGCCAGCCAATCTGCGCTGATTTTGCGAAGGCTTTTTAATATGAATTGGAAGGAAGGAGCTGCTCATTGTTCAACTTTCAGATAAGACTTTGAACCGAAGCCCTATCTATTTCGGTCTGACCAGGTGGACGTTAAGTAAATGGGACTGTACAAAAAGAGAAGGGAGTTTCTCACAATTTCATGTACACCCACAAAACACACAGTCACTACACTCTACACCACAAAGAAGCAGGATTATATTATTATAACTTGGCTCAGTGTCGAGCACTTCTGACCCTGAGTCAGAGATTTCAGCTCACAGTCTCGGCTAATGCTCCAGTGCGGTGCTGGGAGTGTGTTGTATTGTCAGAGGTGCTGTCCTTTGGATGAGACGTTAATCTAAGGTCCTACCTGGGCCTGTTCAGGTGGGGTGTGACAATACCATGGCACTTATTGAAAAGAGAAGGGAGTTTCTCTCGATGTCCCAGCAACCCGCAAAAATTGGCCACTGCGTTTGGTTAGCAAATACATTGTTGAAATAATTCCAAAGTACTTTTCGATGTTATAAGCAATCGATCAAACAGAAAAATGGCTGGTATCATACCGAGAGGGGTCCCAATCCCGAAGCCTTTGGAATCTATCAGGCCCCCGATCTGGGTGAGGTTGCAGTTCCTTTGGGTGGTGTATTCGAGGGTGGTGGATTCCATCAGGAGAGCGTAATCCGCGGTCAGAACCCGCTGGATGCCCTCCTCGATGCTCTTCACCAACGCTGATTGGTGTCTGCTACTCATGAAGGCCCACATCTTCTCGAAGGTGGAAATTTTGGATTTCTGTTTAAAAGATTTTTTAAAAAAAGGACTTTGTCAGCCACCTGTAGCGTATTTCACCCCGTCCGGGACAAGTTGTTGTTGCTTATTTCAGGCATCTCTACGCCTTAGACTCCAGGCCAGAAGATTGTTTGTTCAAGACCCATATCATCAACAACAACTTGCATTTATATAGAGCCCTTCACTGGAGAGGTTGCATCTCTGAGCACTTAACAGTGTCTCATGTTGATATCGGGACCAAATGTCTATACTCTAGTTCCATGCTAGAAGCATTGTCGGATGAGATGGTAACCTGAGGACCTGTCTGCGCATGTTCAGGTGGATGATAAAGATCTTTTTGACATGGGAAGGCAGTTTCTCCAGTGTCCTGGCCAACAGTAATATTGGTCACTCATTTCATGGTTTTTTGTGGGACATTCATGGATGAAAATTGGGCAGCAGTTGTCTATAAAAATCAAGTAACTTCATTGTAGACCCTCTGAAGCGCTTTGAGACTTTTTACTCTGATAAACCGCTATATTAATGCAAGTATTATTATTCTTGTTGCTATGGTTAGTATTTCAGATTCAGCTGATAGACCGTTTAAAGTTTGTTTGTTTCAATCTCTGATCCCAGAAATGCAATTTGCAACCCACACTCACTATCCATGACCAATATGACAGAATTTCTGGCAATCCTTCACCTGCAATTGTCTTGCATAAAAATTGCAGGATTTTGTGAATTACACAGGTATTGGACTGAATAATCGCAGTTTTTACCTGTACCTGAGCTGCATTTTAAAGGGAAATAGATATTTACAGCACATTTCGATTCCTGGCAGGGCGAAACCTTGGGTAAGTTTCCTTACTCCACACGCCTAATAATAATCCCTTAAAAAACAATAATAAATTGGTCACTTCAATCCACAACTGTTTGTGGGATACTGCTGTGCGCTGTTGGCTGCCGCATTTCGCCCACAAATATATACAGTCAATTCACTTTACAATCTATTCTGTGAAGTGCTTTGAGACGTCGAAAAGACGTGAAAAGTGCTATATGAAATGCAAGGATTATTATTATTAATCGGGTCGGAAGGTTAATGGCGAATTAAGGGATAACAGGGGAACTCATAATGTTCAAGGACTGTAACCTCACTACGTGTACCAGCTGCTTATAATAATAAACCATGCTTTTGAGATAGCACCTGATTACATTATTAAAACTTCTCACAGGAGATTCTGTAAAGTGCAGTTGATGTATTTTGTAAGTGAATCGGCAGCTAATTCCCACCTAGCAATAATAATAATAATGATAATAATAATAGTAATCCTTGCATTTGATATAGCGCATTATCACCTCTTTGAGACGTCTCAAAGCGCTTCACAGAATATACTGTGAAGTGAATTGACTGTATATTGTGGGCAAAACGTGCACTGCACAATTTTTTTTAAGGGATTATTACCATTGTCCTCCAAATAGCCAGGATACAGGAGAAACTCCCTTCTCTTTTCGAACAGCGCCAAGGGATCGACGTCCCACAAACAGCTGTGTATTGAGTGTCCAATTTTATCTGCGAGATCGCTGGCCAGATGTGAATTGAACTGGTGATGTGGTTCCCAATATGAACACGGTTTATACCAGTTGCGGGTGACACGCAGTTTATTAAAAAATCTTTTTAATTCAATCTGTTCATCCCACTGCGACTCTTTAAATTGTAGACGTTGGCTTCAATAATCATCTGATGGTTTTCCCAGACAGCGAGTTTGAGTCTCAAAGAAGTTCAGTGCCCGTTAGCTGAGATGAAAAACATTGTGAAGGGAGCCGTATATTCTCCGTAACCTTTTAATAAATCAATAACATTTCTGTCATTTTTATACTCTGATTGCTCTTCCGTTTGAGTCTGCGATGAGTTTTTATCTGACCTCAAACCCTTTGACCTTATAATACTGTCACTCGCAAAACCTTTGCAATTTCGGCAACTAATGCGGAATCTGTAATTTAATCAATTCTAATGTGATGCTCACGGTTTCTCCCCCTGCTGTGCTCCCCAGTGGCTCTTCCAAATGGGTCTAGGCTTTTGCACTCAAAGATATTTATGGGTGTCTTGGAAAAAATCAGGGTTGAGACCAATTACGTTTGAGGGAATCTAGACAGACTGATGAGGAATAATAATTAGAACAACAATAACAATCCTTGTACTTGATACGCTGCCTTTCACATCGGGAGGACGTCCCTAAAGTCCTTCACAGGATTTAATGTAAAGTGTAGTGACTGTGTATTACGGAGATCAACGCAGTAGCCAATGGGGGTGAAACATCCTTCAGAATTCACGGACATAAAATGTTTAGTGGGTTGATTATACCCAGCCCAAGAAAACACATTCAGTTTGTACCGTGAGACTAATCAGTTCCACCAGTGAGATGTAGAGAAATATGAAGCGGGTGCCTGGTAGAAACAGAAAACATCAAACTATAAAAGGGCAAAAGTTTTGTATGTCAGGTTATTAAGAGAATCCACATGAATAAACCGGCGGAGGGCTTCCCAGGAGACATGTTATCTACAGATGGAACCTCACTGAGCTGTTGTCCCCCTCGGTTGGTGATGCAGGCAGGGGTGGTGAGACTGATCGTAAGGTTTAAAGAGAAGCATTGGTGTGCAGAATACATCCCCCCAAGATAGATCATTTTGTCTGTTTATTCAGAGTGGACCGCTCGCTTATTAGCAATCTTGTGCAACGAGCTTAGTGCTTCATACAGCTAAAAGGCAAAACTTAAAAGGGTTTAGGAGTTGGCTGTTTTGCTCTCTTGCTCGCTGCACATCTGGGCAGAACTGTTAGCAAACATAAGGATGCAGAATGGGAGAAGAACACAGGCAGTTATCCTGCTTGGATATAGCCTTAGCGCTAACAATCCCGGTGTCCTTGGCCAACCATAACCCAAATTAAATCAGTCACTCACTCCATGGCTGTTTGGGGGATATTACTGTATGTTAATTAATAATAATAATAATAATAATCCTTGAATTTGATGTAGTGCTTTATCAAGCCATTAAAACATTTCAAAGGGCTTCGCAGAATATAGGTGGAGTGACTGAGTATTTTGTGGGTGAAATGCAGCAGCCAATTACACGCATCAATTATGTCCCACAATTGTAATTATTTACAAGTAACTGGCTGCCCACTCACCTGCAATATACACAGTCACTACACTTTACAGTAAAACTCCTGGGAACACTTTGCACCGTCTCGAGACTGATCGCGCAATAAGATGCAAGCTGATGTAAATTTACAAAAGCGCATCAGTAACTTAGCATCACATTTTCATTCAGCTAATACCCACCTCCATGCCAAGTAGTCAACGTTGAGCAGACTAGCAGCTCCCTTGGATTTATAGCTGCGATAAGTCAATAAAAGGCTAAATAAAAGTTGGCATTAACAGTGATATATAAGCTAGAAGGAATTTACTCTAACAGCATTCCCGCAGTGTCATTTGCAGTGACTTATAGCTGTTACTGTGAAAGCATAGCGTGCACAATATATTTACGAGGAAATCCAATGATACGATCCTCAGAAAACAAAAATTTATGCTCCCCGGTTGACCTAAAACAACCGTTCATTGAATTAGCTTAGGAGACGCCATCAATATATTCTGTTACAAGCCCAAGCTCCCCGATAAATTGATGAATGGCCTTGCAGGAGCTGAAGCTTTTGGCATTATTCCACCAGATCTGTGTTCTCTTTATCACTCCGACTGGGGAGAGAATGGATCCTGAGCTCCACGCTTCCTATAGCAGCTTCAAAGACTAAATCTAAATTGATTCTGCCATTCAGGCTGAACCAGTTCCATTTTTAGAGTCCACGGATTTTGCTTTACGAGAATAATAAGAAAAGCTCATGCAGAATTGCGTCGACTTTAGATGAACTGTGAATGTGTTTGCATTTGAGAGAAGGGGACAGAGGGGGAGAGGGAGGATATTCGGAGAGTGGATTAGGAGGGGTGGATTATAAACCCTGGCACGGACTGGTTAGGCCGAATGGCCTGATTCGTCGTTATAGATTTCCCTAATTCTATGCAACGTGATGAATGTGTCCGTTGTTCCGTTTGTTCAGACTGAATTAAGAAAGCACAATTGCCGAACGAAAGTGGGTTTGGCTCTTTGTGGCTGGGATTTTTCAAACCAATGATCATTTGAGGTCTTTTTTTTCCCCCCCTCACTTATTTCCCTGGGATCTTTCGCCGCACTGGCTCACGAAATCCGTTTGATGCTATTTTGATCATTGTTCCCTTCAAGGGTGTTAGCTCGGAGAGGCATGTCTGAAAATAGCTTTGGGCCACTCAGCTGAGCGAAAGGCGCTCTATAATTTCAGGTCGCTGTGTTCTGTTGGCCTGCTAACAGTTTACCAAGGATCGATCTGTCACGTCTGAATCTGGATAGTGAACACCAGCAAGCTATTTACAAATAGTCCTTCAACACATCATCAGAACATCTCCAAACGCTTTACAGGATTTACTGTAAGTTCAAGATCTGTTCGATTTCAAGATCTGCACAGTCGTCTACAAATCCCTTCACCCCTGGCACCTTCCTACCTCTTCAAACTGCTTACTCCCTGCTCCACCATCCACTGCCTCCGCTCAGCTGGCTCTGGCCTCCTGTTTGTGACTCGTGCCCTTCCGCTCCACCATCGGCGACTGTACTTTCAGCCACTACGCCCCGAAGTTTTGGAACTCCCTCCCTCAATCCCTTCACCTTGCCCTCTCATTCCCCTCTCTGAGATCCTGAATGAAGACCTTACGGTCACCTCCTACCTCCCCCTGGGTTGTTGACGGTGTCCGCCACCATAAAGCGCTCCGAGACACTGCCCAGTGTGAAGGACATTATATACATACAACTTGATGTTGTTGCTGTAGAGTGTGGTGACTGTATTTTGTTGACAAACACAGCAGCCAATTTGCACGCAGCAATGAGCCACAAACAATCACGTAGAGAATGACCAATTTTTATCTGGGAGATTTTTGGACAGGACATCAGGGGAAACACCCTTCTCTTTTCCAATACTACCAAGAGATCTTCATCATCCTCCTGAACAGGCAGGTGGGATAAGCTGAATATGTAGCTCCCTCTTTGGGAAGACATTCCATTCCAAAAGCCAAAGCTTGGGGTCCCCAGGGTGTGCGTTGGGTATTGGAGTTGAACCCCAGATCAACAACAACAACAACTTGCATTTACTTGTATGACATCAACCAACAACTTGTGCCACCACACTGAGCTTTGCAGCACAAGTCTTTACAGCTTTCTTTGTTATATGTCAAGGATGTTGTTACATGAGCACGGGACATTGCTATGCGCAAATTGGCCCTAAAATTCACCTACAAAGTACACAGTTACTGCACTTTACAATAAACCTTAGGCTCACACTTGGGAGACATGATCGGCTGAGTTGATTGGGGATTCCATCATGCACATCTATTGCAAGTATTTTTATTATCGTTATTATCGCCTTGAATATATGCGCAGTTCATCCACCAAAAAAAGGCTTTGGAGTTTAAGAATTTTCCATAATTAATAATAAGTAATTAAGTAATCAATTAATTAATTAATTAATAATTTGGTCACTCAATCCACGACTGTTTGTGGGGACACTGCTTTGCGTAAATGGCTGCCGCGTTCCGCCCACAATATAGTCAATTCACTTTACAGCATATTCTGCGAAGCGCTTTGAGACGTCTCGACGAAGCCATAAGGCGCTATATCAAATTCAAGATTTATTATTATTATTATTATCGAAATGCAAGGAGAAGGTGAAATGTCAGGCCTCGTATCCCTAGTGTGGTGTTGTGGTATTAACTCGGTATTTCATTTAACCAATTCCATTGTAAAGGCAAATATGTCCTATCTTCACGCCATCAAGTTCTGATACAAGAAACTCTTGGAAAAGTTTCCAATCCCAACGTGTAATTCGATTCAAGTTCAAAACCAGAAAAGATTTGCGTATCGACGTGGCGCTTTTTAGCAACAACGACTTGCATTTATGTTGCTCCCGTCACCATCTCGGAGCGTTTTCACGTTAGGAAGATGTCTTACAGTCCTCACAACAACAACTTGCATTTATATAGCGCCCCCTGAGGCAGGTCAGAGCACTTGACAGTGTCGGAGCTGGGGACGGAGGGGGGAGGTAACCATAGGCACGGTTAAATAGGAAGGTTTTCATGCGTGACCTGAAGGTGGGGAAGGAAACCACGGTCAAAGAGGTCCATTTTGAGACATGATGGAGTAGGGGGTGGATGGGAGGGGGCAACTTTGCCTCTTTTTAACATATTAAAATTGGTGCGAGCTTCCAAGGCTCCAGCGTAACAAAGCACTTAAGCTGCTGACAAATCATCCTTATTTACAACCTGAATTCTCGCCCGTAAACGTCACCTCCAAACAATGACAATAAATTTAAATAATCCATTATACACTCTTCAACACATGTCAACAAGGCCGTATTAATACCCGAGCTGAAAGCAAGCCGTTATAGAAGCACGATAAAAATAATAAAAGATAGATTTCCAGACCGTGGGAAGCAAACACATCATTACCTTGAAGAAAGCCATGGTCGCCCCATCTTTGACCGTCCCATACTCTATTTTGGTTTGTTTTGCCAGGTCATCGGCTGAGTTGATTGGGGATTCCATGCGTTCTATTGTTAGGAAGGCTGCCAGGTTAGCAGTATAGGACGATATGATAATCAGGGTGAAAAACCACCATATACTGCCTATAATCCGGGTAGAAAGAGCCTTCGGCATCAACTCGGAACCTGTGACAGACAATAATATCAGAAAAACACATTGAGCCTCTGAATATTCATCTGCAAAGTGAAAAATAAACAACAGCTTGGGTACGTTCAATATCTCTGGACACCTAGCATTGTAGGCGCTGTGTCAAAGGGAAGGATTATTATATTGATTTGGAGCTTATTTAAAAAATCATTTTCCTTAATATTATTATCAATTCAGATGAGTACCAGTGACAATTTGGCATTCAACCACAATGGCGTTCGTTTAACATCTCATTATTTTGCCATTGTTTTTATCGGTTTGATGTCTGTTCCCCGAACGACAGGTTATTTTATTGTTGAGGGTGAGCGGGTGCTTCAGTCTGTATTTGCCGCGTATTCCAATGTGTATATGCAGCCGGGACACTACCCTGCGTGAAGGGCGCTACATAAATGCAAGTTGTTGCATTTAACCGAGAAAACTGAAATGATAACAATAAATTGCATTTATACAGTGGCCTTCACTTCGATTGAATAATGTCTCGGAGTACTTCACAGTGGTGGGTATGGATGGGCAGGTGTTTGCTACGTACGTAGTGTTTACCCAGCGCTTTCTGTCATTCTCTTTATTTTGCGACTGCAAATATTTTAAAACACAAGAGGAATTTTTGTTTAAAAGGAGAAAAAAAACATTAAAAAAATCGCACCAAGGAGTTTTATAGGATGTGTTTTTTTTGATCAGCCGAAAATCTAACATATGCGGGAACCTTTCACTGTGCTTAAGAGCTTTACAAACGCGATCTTTTTATGGCATCTATGCGTGGAAATCCACCCATGCAAGGTTAGGTTTAATTTCACTTACACAAAGTCTCAAAGCAGGAAGCCAAGAAATCCCTTTATCTCCATGAGGAGAATTGTGCTGTATTAAATGAAGGATGCGGCTTTATGCTGTCATCTATGTTTCCAGCTAACATTTATCCTTCAATAAAAATAAATCTGTGACATTAGGAGTTTTCAATGTGTTTTCTAACAGATTGCTGACTCTCCCCTTTAATTCCTAAAGAACCTCCGAAGACACGTGTGTTATCTCGGAATACACACATCTCGCAGGCGCAGCTCGGGGTTGTGCCGAAAAAAGAAAGGCAATGTCCACAACAACAGCAGCAACAACTCGCATTTTTGTAGTGCCCCTCGCGCGAGGTAGCATCCCAGAGCACTTGAGAGTGGCGCCCTTCACACGGAATAGTGTTTCGGAGCGCTCCACAGATACATTACCTATCTAAATGATTCTGTTACATTTGACTCATTTGCATTCCAACCTGTGACGTCCTTTACGGGGTGGGGAGGGGGCATATGATTTTAAGTGGGATTGAGAAAATAAACCAGGGACAATACTTCGGATGCATCGAGGCAGCAGAATAAGAGGACACAGGTTCAGGGTTGCAAAAAGGACAATTTCAAGATGGACACCAGGAAATATTTCATGGAACGACTGGAACAGCGTTACCAGGAAGGATGGTTCATGCTAAAGAGGATTTGTAGGGTGGGTATTCTGGAAGGATACAATCAAAGAAATTTTACAGAGCAGCTGGAGGCCTTTGACCCACCGAATCTGCACAGGTCCATTCTCTCCCACTGTACTACCCTATTCCTTATTACCCCTTCAAGCCTCTGTCCTTCATATACCCGTCTACTTCCCTCTTGAAACCCACAATGGAGTCTGCCTTTATCACTCTACTTGGCAGGGCATTCCCAACGGATTGAGATCAAATGGGCTGAAGAGCCTTCTGATTGACTGAAATGATTCACTCTGCAAAACAAATTAAAATATTTTCCCCAAGAAAATCCCACATGGATTATTAACCTCTTAGTCAACCTGTAGGCCTGGAAGATTTCCTTCATTATCTGTGCCATTGGGATAATCACAAATCTCTGCTGGATTTAATGAATATATTCCATACTTAAATAATTGATGGAGGTTAAACCATTGCTGCTGTGTTTTACTTTTAACCAGGACGTGTCTTGACGTCTTGACTTCCATTCCAATTACACCCCTCCCCCAACTTCCATTAGCACTGTGAATGAAGTGGAGATAAATCGAGACAAACATCATTTATTTAGTACCCTGCCCTATGGAAACGCTGCATGCATTGGTCTCACAGTGAGGAATGTGCCTCAGTGAGGTATGAAGATAATGTATACATGTTATATATATATTTCCTGGCTTTAAGCCTCGGAGGATTTTTATTTTGGGAAAGTTGGGTGAAAGAATGCAGGTCAGTGCAAAGGTAAAGAGGAGAGAGCCCGTGAAACCTACCCAGGGTCGGCAAATGTGTGACTTTAAAGCTTGGTGATAATATGTGTGGTGATAGCACTCCAGTACAGTACCGGGGTGAGTGCTGAATAATCCTTTGGATGACATGTTAAACCGAGCTCCCGACTGCTTGTTTGGGTGGATGTTAAACATCCCGAGGCAGTATTCGAAAAAAGAAGGGAGTTTCTCCAGTTGTCCTGGCCAAAAATCCCACCAGATTAATTGATCTTTCACCTCAAGCAGAAACTTGCTGCAACACCTGGCTTCCATGTCTGCTGCAAAACATGTTTACTTCACATCTTGTATCTTGCCTCTAGCGAGCTTTATGTCTGACCTAAAAGCAAGCAATCATTACAAAACAGCACAGAACCTCCTCCTGGCTGTGAAACTATTGAACGCAAGACGTGACTGGTAAAGCAGCCCGTCCCTGGAACTTCTCCCAATGTCCTGGCCAACAATCTCCCCCAGATAAAATTGCTCATTCACATCATGGCTGTTCGTGAGTCATTGATTGCGGTGCACAAATTGGCTGCCATGTTCAGCTACAAAATACGCAGTCACTCCACTTTATGTTACATATATCACGCGAAGCACTTTGAGACACGAGAAGATGTGAAGCCTCCCCAGGCCTCACTCAGACACAGTGAGAGGCAGGGAAACAGTCAATTCCTAACCTTGTTGCATCAGAGCGCCGACTCCAAACCAAAAGCTGTTCAATAGGGTGAAGTTGTTTTCCACCACATCAGAGCCAGGATTACAGGGATGAGCATCGTACCATTCGTAGGGGCTGAACCTGGAACGACAACAGCACAAGTAGAGAAACATGGTCTTCACTGAGAGGAACAACATCCTGCCTCGCTACGACTCTGTGCATTTCGCCCACAAAGTATGCAGTCACGACACTTTACAGTGTATTCCGTGAAGCGCTTTGAGACGTCTTGAAGACCTGATAAGGCGCTATATCAAATGCAAGGATTATTATTTATATATTGTATAGTCGTACCCGACTGTTCAAGTCGACGGTAAAGATCCCACAGCTCTGTTCAAAACAAGAAGGGGATTTCTCTCAGGGTTCTGGCCAACAATTCCCCAGATAAAATTGATCATTCCCTTTGTGGCTGTTTGAGGGAACCTCCTGGGTGGAAATTGGCCTTCAACCACACAATCACTGCACTATACAACAACAACGTGTGCCCTTCACACAGGGCAGCATCCCGGAGCACTTACAGACAACTCCGACGGGCTTTGAAACAGCTGAATGTGATAACGGCACTATACTAAACATAGGGTTCATTCTCATTATCTATAATTCAGGAAGATTATCCAAAGGCAGAAAACACGCAATGATAAAAAGTACTTTCAAACTCCTGAGGAACTGGTTGCAGTGTGACCTTTGACGATCTTCTCTGAGCAAAGTGACACCCAGCTGAATTATTGGTCATGTCTTTTTCATCCTCGACATAGATATTCTCGAAATTGACTGGATAATCATTGTAAATCTGAAGGCTTCAATTCAGCTCCATTAGTGATGCTCAGGCACAACAGATTTATTGTCTCTCTCTCTTTCTCTCTCTCTCTCTCGCGGTGCTAAACCCATAATAAAATCGGTTCTTCACAGTGAGAAACTGATTGATCTTTCACTCACGCTCCCACACACGCTCTGGGCCTCCAAAAAAAAAGTGGACAAAGTTCAATTTCTTCCACTTTTGTTGGCGGTTGGTGCCACAAAATAAAAATTCTCTGGCTTTTGTTAAAGAGGCCAATTTGTTTGAATATTGCCTAGACTATATGAATTCCCTATACGGGGCTTGAGCTCACTAGCATCTGAGTCATAGGTGAGAATTTTACCAACTGGGCCAGGCTAATAAGTTAACACACAGCTATATGATAGTTTGCACTGGAATAAAGTAAGAAACTAGTTCAATGCATCTGTCCTTCAGATGAGATGTTAAACCAAGGTCCCAGCACCTGTTCAGATGGATGTTAAAGATCCCACGACCCTATTCGAAAAGAGCCGGGAGTTTCCTGGTGTCCTGGCCAATAATCCCCTCAAATAGAAAAACACATTCATTCCCTTTATGGCTGTTTATGGGACATTGCTGTGTGTAAAATGGCTGCCCTGTTCACCTACAAAACACACCAGTTCCTACACAGCTTTAAGACGTCCTCCCGATATGGAAGGCGCTGTACAAAAGGCAAGGATTAATATTAGATTAATATTATTTATTTCATGGACTGGGAAATCATGTGATTTTTTTCCATAGCTTGCAGGTTATTTTCTAACTGTGTATATTTTGTCTGACTGTGTGAGAGTTTTATTTTAGAGCACCTTAAAACAGCCGCTTCTATGCTTGTGCCAGATACTGCATTTGTTTATAATCTGGGGTGGAAAACATGGTAATAATGGATTCCCATCACGCGACTGAATGTGCATAAACTCATGTCTTATCATGGAATTGTTAACACTATGTCACGTGGAGCTGTTATCCTCAAACAGAACTCCAGAGAAATCCTCCACACCAAACAAACCAGTCACAGCAAATAGCATCAACCATGACAGACACTGCAAGGCTATTGCAGGCAGTATTCCAGACACTGGATTACTGATAAGCAGAACAAGCTCTTGCTTTGCTCTCTCCGTTATGGCATTCCGTGAGCTCTGTGATCAGGTTACCGCTTTGTAATTCACTTACAGCTCCTTTGGCTTCCAAACACCACTGCCAGAGATGGCTTGACTAGTCTGTCAAGCTTTCCGCTGCTCGGCCAGCTAGGACCTCCCTACCCGCCAGGTCTCTGGCACGCAGGGTTAACAGAAGTCGAGTGGGAAGAACATGCCTTGAGTGCTGCAGCAGAGAGCTAACATAAACTGATCCAGGCTGATGTGCCAGGCAGGGTTTGGGTAATTTATGCTGGACGTAATTGGCTGCCGCGTTTCGCCCGTATAATACACAGTCAACCCACTTTACAATATATTCTGCGAAGATCTTTGAGATATCTCAACAACATGATAAGGCGCTATATCAAATGCAAGAATTATCATTTTTATTGCCCTCAGCCTGGCTCAGTCGGAAACACTCTCGCATCTAAATCGGAAGGTTGTGGGTTCCAATCTCTTGTCGAGGATTTTGAGGTCACATCAAGGTTGATGCTTCAGTGCAAACATGGAAGGCATTTAACACATTTTCGCGGTGAGAACAGAATGGTAAGAGATTTGTTACTTTGATCAGCGATATCATGCTTCAGATGTAATATTAAACCTACCTGCCTGTCCAGGTAGACATTAAAGGTCCCATGGCGCTATTTGAAAAGGGAAGGGAGTTTCTTGTGATGTCCTAGACAACAATCTCCCTAATAATATCAGTTATTCGCTGTCTTCGGGATATCACCGTATATGCAAATTGGCTGCCACTTTTACCTACAAAATACACAGTCGCTACACTTAAAGGTCCTGTGAAGCGCTTTGAGGCACCTTTTTGGATTAAAGGAGGTTGTGGGGAGGAATAACAACAACACGCATTTATATAGCGCCCTTCACAAAGCGCAGCTCTCAGAGTGCTTAATGATTGCATGTGAAACAATAATAAGCTGAATCATTATTATTCTTCCCCAGGACATTCTTTAATTCAAAATCACAATAATTATAGAACTTGAAATCACGACCTGTAAATCGAACTTGAAAATAAAAATGACCAGATTTCAGCCTCTGCATAAAATCAATAGAAAAATTTAATTACCTTCACATTTAATTCATCATCTCTTTGGAGAACAAATGAAGACCGTATTATTTTCTACTCATACAGGGCGTTCGGACTCAACTGTGCCAAAATTTCATGATCATAATTAAATTGTCCTTCCTGTGGACATCATTATGGTGAATAAACTCCCTCTGAAAGGATCAGTTCTGTACACCAGAAATATGTATAGAATAGACTCCAGTGAGCTTTGAAAATATGTTTCAGTCCCTGGTCGAGTCCCTGTGAGCGAGTTAGTTAATTTCAACCAAGGGTGTTATAGTTCTTAATGATAACAATAACTCCTGTACTTGATACAGCGCCATTCACATTGGGACAATGTCTCCAAGCGCTTCACAGGTTTCACTGCAAAGTGCAGGAACTGCTGTACTTTGCAGATGACGGGCACATAACTTTATCGTTACTTGTTACAGTGTGCTGTAAAAATTTTGAGATGCCTCCCCCTCCCGCGGCAAGAGAGATATCCGCTGTATCAAATGCAAGGATTATTATAGTATTATTATTATTATTTTGTCTATGAGGAATCAAGCCCACAATGGGACTTGGAGCCCATATAGTCTAAGCTGATATGCCAATGCAGTGCTGAGGATGTGCTGCATTGTCATACAGTCACTACACTTTGGAGTATATTCTGTGCAGCACTTTGAGACGTCTCGAAGACGTGATCAAGCTCTACATCAAATGCAAGTATTATTATTATTATGATTATTATTATTGTCAGAGGTGCCGTCCTTCAGATGTCTGCCTTTCCAGGTGGTCATTAAAGATCCCATGGCACTAACGAAAAGAGACGAGATCTCCTAGTATCCTGGCCAACAATCTCCCAAATAAAATTGGTCACTTACTTCATGGCTGTTTGCGGAACATTGCTGCAATGCAAATTGGCTGGCGCTTTCTCCCACAAAATACATAGTCACTACACTTTACAGTGTATCCCGTAAGGTGCTTTGAGACAACACGATAAGGCGTAACATCAAATGCGAGGATTATTTTTATTACTATAATGTGATAATGATAGTAATTCAGGTAACCAGGAGTCACCACTCATTTTCCTAATTAAGAAATCATTGTTAGAAATTATCGCATGTTAAGCCCCCAACTAACACAAATTCCTCTTGCTCCAGCCATTAATATAACCGGGGATCACTTCATCAGCTCGGCTTTCAATGCTCATTTCAAAAATAATCACGAAACACACTCTAATGAAATGCACAACTTATTGTGCTCCAATATGCCAGTCTGGGAGAGAAACAGACAATCATAAATATTGTTCTTTTGAGGACTTGGTATTAAAAAAGGAAAGGTATTATTTACCACAGCAGCAAATCAGCTTTGTTTCCTTTAGGCTCCAGTCCTCCCGGTATCTTGCATGTAGTACAAACTCTATTCAAATGTCACCATAATTACTTTAATAATCTCCATCTGCTTTGGTTATTTTAGTCCAATTAAAGTGTCAGGAATAGAAGAGACTGTAAGTCCTGAAGCAAGATTTTTCATTTACAGCTCTCCAAAGCAAATATGTTTTCGAAGTCTTGCTACTTATTTAAAAATGCACTTAGCTATTTCCATTTAGCAAAATAATTGCATTCCAAATCACAAGTTGTCTGACAAAGGGTAGAGTACACAGGACTACAGGGGAGCAAAGAAGCCTCACAGCAAATAACCCTACAATAACCTTTTCTGCTTTTTATCCTTCCCTCAACTGGTACCAAGTGCTTTTTTGCCTCCCCCCAAGAATAAAAATGCACTACCGTATTGTACAGCAATTCCAAACCAGAGCAAATGAGGGATTCAGCGACCTTGAAAACGAGTGAATGTTAAATGGCAAATGATTAATTACCTGTTCTCAAAATGTATAATTAAGTCATTTTACTAATAGTGAAAATGGACTGTTGGCAATGAGAGTGCACTGCTGGCCCCAGCATTGCAGTATTTTAAAAGACAATTTTATACCCTTTGTGTACTGCATGACTCTAGTTGAGTATCAATCACTTGAAATCGTCCACGATATCAAACCTATCATTCCTTGTTAAACACAGAA